TGAAGTAGACCTTGTACAGACTGTTCTGCATCTTCATATTGGACCTAGACACACCAGTGATGCCTCAGGGGCACCTTTCTTTCCAGCAGTGACACTTCTGTGCTTGTGCCACAAGTGTCCTTGCATGGCATCATTCATGATATGTAGCTTTGAGTTTACTTAGTGGCCCGAATCTCTTTCAGTTCCCACCCAGAAATAACTCGTTGTCAAAAGTCTCCTAAGCATTTGTATAGGTCCTATCGCTGACATTGTTTTAAATATGTAAAAAGATATTTTGGTCATGAAATTCACTCTCAAGAGTGGTCTCTTGTGGTCTAGGATTCTCCAAAGTCAGCTTTTACTTGCATAAAAATGAAGATCTGCTATGAAATAATTCAGCTATCACTGGCTAACTTAAACAGGAGCCACATTTAGGTCTCTTTGGCTTTCTACCGGAGTTGGAAAGATTTTTTTCCTGGAGAGAAGGATAAGGTTATAGGCAGCAGACCCAAGATGACAGAAATAAGGACATCTTTGTTTTTATTAAGAAGGTGTCACAGTGCAGGAGGACATTCCTTGGAAAGGAAAGAAATGATCTAGTTAGTCTAGTAAAAGATACCACCTCTTCCACGAGTTTTGATTCCTTTTGAAAGGAAAGGAAACTTGGAGGCTCAGTCTCACTAGGTGAGTGCCAGTTTTTTTGGTCTGGAGGACCATGCTGATTCCCTGCTAGTACAGCATGCTACCTGTCCATACCTCACGCCTGTGGGCTGTGTTAGAGGGCTGACTTTGGCAATCTAGCATCAGGTTAAAATAACCATGGTGCAAAACCCAAGTGGGTGTTTTCACTGCGCGCACCTTCCTTCCCCCCCTTTCTACCAATGTTACTGCTATGGTTCTTGCGGGGAGGGGAAGAATGCACCCACCTGCTTGTGAAAGAGTAAAAAAAAACACCTCTGATTTTTCCACTTAATTTGTAGGATCATAGAAAATGAGGGTGGGGAGGGAGCCCAGGAGGTCCCATCTAGTCCAGCCCGCTGCTCAAAGGTGGACCGGCCCCAGCTCCATCATCCCAGCCAAACTGCTGATTTCTTGCTGTTTTGATTCTCTTCCGTGCCACTGCAAAGACCTTGGAGATGTAGCTCGGTGGGTCTCAACCTTCGAGGCCTCGAGGCACTCCTCACTGGACTGGAGGCCGGCCTCCATAACTTCTGTGAATTGAGCAGCACCCAATTTCAAAACCGAATGTCTGGATTCCAGTACTTACCTCCCTGCGGAGGGGCCAGGCGGCGGGAGGGGGGGTCCACCAGGCAGGGACAAGTCGACATCTGCACTTCTCTCGGCACTCCCCAAAGGACTGTGGCACCCACGTTGAGAACCCCCGATTTAGCAAAAGCAAGCGGCGAACTAGTTATTTCCCCGTCTTGGGCAAAGACGTTGGTGCTAGCGAGCAGCTGAATGCTGCTGAGCAGGCTGATGGCTAACAGCCCTTGGCTGACAGGTCTGCGTTTATCAGCTCATTTCCAGGCTCTGCTTTCCTCCCCTCGCTTTCTTCTGCAGTCCTGTGTGTATAAATGTGGAAATGATATGTTTACCCCTCAGATCTGTAGATCTGCAGGCTTTTGTTTTAAAGTATGCATTCACCTCCATTAATTTTGAGTGGTATTTAATATTTATGCTGAAAGGACGTGAGGGGTATTCCAATGAGTTCTTCCTTCAGGGAAAAAGGTGGGAGTTGAAGAATTACCCAGCACTCGAGGGCTCTGCTTATAGTGTCTTGCAAAGGTGCAAATAGGCAGTTATTTAAGATGCACATTTTGCAAATCAGCACCTTTCTGTGAGAGGGGAAGGGGCAGGGGGAGGGATAGGGAGCAAGGAGAAACCTCTGCTGAGGTTCAAGTCCTCGTCTCTGCCTCCTGGGAAGCTCCCCAAGAGCATGGGAGGGAAACCCCTCAGCTTCCCTTCTTTAGCCTCTTTTCTGGTGTGCCTGCTCCACCAACTTGTCACGCCCTCTTAAACCTGTCTGGACGGGGTGATAAGGCACCCTTTTGGAGTAGTGGCTGGAAATGCTGCGTGCTGACTGAGAGCTGCACAAAGCCGAGCCTTGAGTTCTTTTTAACCTTTTACTGTTGTGCTTAGAGCTGCAAAAAATGGCTTAAAACATTATGCCGAGAGATGTCGGGCCCGCTTACAGTACCTAAAAATTATTTGGGCATCTGCAGAGTGCTGAAGTGCTCGGAGTGTGCCGTGCAAAGTGGGCCGTTTTTCTTGTGCGTGTTCAAAATTGTTCCATTCATCTGTTCAGTTCTCCTTCATTGCAGCAGAGCCGCTGCCCTCCCTCGGGCCACTGGCAGTGTAGTTCTTCTCTGTGGACTCAGGAGCGAGGGAGAGAGACTTCCCGTTCAAAGGGCAATTAGAAAGTATTTCTTGTCACCCGGCTTTGCTTCAGCAATGCACCTTTGAGCTGCAGAAGGACACTAACTTCCACTTTGAGGTCTCGAGCGTCTTTGCTGGGGCTTTATGGCACAAGCATCTCTCTGGTTTGAAACGTTTGTGCGGTGGTGAGGATTTGTTGGATTAAAATCACGATTATTTCTACTGTTGCTCAGCACTGAGCAAGCATGCTGTTGAAGCGCCACTGGTGTTTTTGTCCCTGCAGACATGCTCTGCCCTGGACTGGCCAGCTCTAGGGTTTGCACCTTTCTGCGTTTTGTAGGTAGGGATGAGATGCGGTGTCCAGAGTCAGAGCTCTGCAGATCTTCAGGCTCGCGTTCCCTGGGAGGAAAGGGAAAGCAGCTGCTCTTCTGGGTTGGCTTGGCCCCCCTTGTGACAACGTTGTGTGAACATTGGACTCCCAGGGTGCGGTGTGTGGTTTTGGGTGCATGCTTTTCTTGCTGGAACAGGACCATCAGCAAGCAGAGACTCCTCGGTGCAATGTGTTCAACATGCTGCTTGGTGGATGCCAGACTACGAAATACAATTGTAAATGTTAAGAGCTTGAATAAAGGTAATGATAAAGCCTTAGCACATATAGCTCCTTCATTAATTCTGGAGCGCCTGGAATACGGAGTAACCTGATTGCTGACCGCTAGCGGGCCAGCTCCATCGGACCCTTCGCTGTGGCCTGCATTTCAAATTGCCCAACGGTGAATAAAATAGCCAGGCCTGGATGACCGTGTCAGCCGTTCTGTTCTCCGTTCAGCAAGCTCTTTTCACCTGTCTCAATTCGTGCTGGCCACAATGTTGTTTTTGGAGGCACCACACCATAATTTAGCAGTTTTCTGGTGTTGTCCCGCAGTGAACACTAGAAAGGGGATGAAGGAGAAGACCACTTTTGGAGATCCAATAACATTTCTAACTCTGCAGAGAGGTTGCTATTAATGAGCGATGGTAATAAGGAAACCCACAGTTTATTACAGAAATTGTATGTATGTTCTGTTTTGACTGAATTATTGCCACAGTCCACCTATTTTTATGACCTCTGCCAGGAGCTGACTTTTCCCTA